TTGGTGGGATTGCTTTTTAGATCAGTATCGTGCACCCAGCGACGAATGGACGAACCATTTTGATAGATCCATGTTTCATCCAAATACACGAAAGTCAAATTTTCACAAGAATTTAGAAACTGTAAATATGTTCTGAAAAAAGTAATTTTGGCTGCAATGACATGTTTTTGTTCACATAGAATTTTGCGACCATTTACTTCCCTGTGTTTATAACCCACTGACTTAAGAATTTTGTATAATGTGGTTCGCCCTCCTTTAAATTCCAACTGTTCCCTAGAATATACCAAAAGAGTATCACAGTGAAATATTCGTTTTTTTCATTAAGTTGCCAGATTTGTCGTTGCAGGTCTTTCTGAAACATACATATACATATACCTACGTGTATGAAGCTGCCTTTTTTTTAGAAAAATACTGGAATCAAGGAGAGTGTCAAGCGCCACCATGGTTTCGGATGTGGACTGGACTTTAGATAATAGTGAAAAGGTTCTTGATGGTTATGACCTTGTGGAGACAACTTAAAACCTCTTTTTTTCTTCTTTAATTAGGACTTAGTCCTGTTGTTTGCAGCGTTATAGCTTTATTCATTCATGTCATCTCTGTGTGGATCTTCTCCGTAATCTCGATTGGATCTTCTATTCTTGACGATTATTGGTATTTTGTCGTCCGTATTGTGTTGTTAATTTTCTGTGTACCTAGTAGGGTGTAGTCAGTACTTGATCCATTCATTTTTGTTGTTCTTAAAAGGCGTTTTGTTCAACTGTGTCGAACGAGGCCTGCTTCATCTACCCCCACAAAAAGAAATTGCAAGGATTGAGGGCAAAAGACCGAGGAGAGATGGGAAGTGAAAATTTGAAAACCTACATGTGTTTGAAAAATTGTCTAGCATAGTATACTAATGAACAAATATTTTATTCTAAATTTAAACACGTATTATGTAGAATTATGCAAAATTATATCTTTATTTAAATCTAACTAAATTGCTTTAAGGTAGACTGGACGCACCGTGTTTATTCAATGTTATTAAAAGGAAAGAGATTTTCCAATCTGGTGAACATCAGACAGCATGCAACACATTTTTAATATGCTTATTATAATAAGATCCTTTGATCTCAAGAAATATTTCGAAACGACGTATTCTACTTCACAGTTTAATTAACATGCTTCATCTTGCTCTTAAACTCGCATTTCTCATTCCTTGTTGCAGAGAAATTATATAAAAATACGTACCACTAAGCAGTTACTCAAAAACGTTTTTAAAAATTTTGTAGGTATTTATTCGAACATAGATATTTATAGAATTTCTCCTTTCTCTTCCATCTTCATATATCTTCCCGAATTAAATAATAAACTAATGTACCTGACATGCGCGTTGATTGAATAATTAACTTTGGAATGTTGCCTAAAGAACAAAATTAGTAGAATTACGTGAAGTTACTCTCCCAAATCGCTGCGGATATGCAATTAAAGTTCCAACCACAAAAGAAAAATGTATTCAAGTTTGCATTGTGGCTTTCACATTTAATTGTTTCTTTAGTGATTACGTTAATTGTACAGAGTGTTGGAAATACAAATTTTAATTTTTAATTGCTTACCACAGAAGCACGAAAATGTGAATTTTTAGTATCTAAATAACAATAAAGAATTTGTCTAAGGTTATGGTGAATATTTGTTCTATAAAGGGATTGTTAATGTTCGACTCTTTATTTTATTAGTGATGTTAAAAAAATCTTGTATAATTGTAATTATAGTGTTACTGAATTAGATTTTTATGAAAATTAATATTATCATTAACTGAAGTCACAGAAATCTTTGAAAGATATCGGACCTGAAATGATTAGTAATGATTATATTTAAAAGATGTTTTTGATCTAAATATGCTGTTAATTTAAAACGTCAAAGTTTACTTTTCTCATCCTTAGTGTCTGCACAGTTTCAGAGTCTATCACAGCGTAATTTCCACTTGATTACCTTTCTAAACTAGTGTTCAATTAGGGAAATTTTAGTTACCGCTTAACACTGGCGTATTGTTTAATATATCTCGATTTTCTTGACACATCAAGAAACTTAGTCTTGGAACCGAATCAATCGTATCTTTGAGTTCTTGTTAAGCTTATGTGTATTCATGTTCGCAAACATTTGAAAATCGAGAAGGTGTGGTTTACATGACAATGGCCAACTTCATCTATAAACTCAGACTGCTTCACTAGAGGCGCTTCTTTGTATTTAAATATATTGTAATTGATTCTAAAATTTTAAAATATCAGTTCGTTTCAAAACTGATAATACAGAATGGTATCTTATATTTTTGACAAACGTTGGGAACGACTGAATACATTTCAAGCTTACACTGACGATGTACAGCATTACACAAGCATAGGTATTGGAGAAATAAGTATGTTTAAAGTAATAATGCAAGCAAGATATTTCTTATTTACAATGCTTACAGAGCATAGGATTTTATTATGTAATATATAAATCATACAGTTTAAAAACTGTTGAAGTTATGTGTTCGCATGAGCGACTTAAGAGAAGTTTAATGACTCAGCTACTGTTAAGGTAATCTGCAGAGAATGTATTGAGAGAAATTTTATTATGCTTGTAACAGTAGTTAGATGCACATTTCATGAGTTTTTTTTTTCGTTCTCTGTCAGGAGAGACTTGCTATTAAATTAACAATTTGTAAACTTAGAGCCGAACCAAGAACGCACACGGTGTACACTGATGAAAATATAGGAGATCAATTAGTAAGGAAAATCTTTAAATTCTAATCGTTGTGCATACTCTCTGTTTATGTAGATAAAGTTGGCCTTGTCATGGCTAAACGAAAATTACTAAATTATTTATCATAAATATTTTTTATCATTTTCTTAAGATCATATTCCGTTACATTTTTGCATCATTCTTTTGGTATACTATTCGGCTTGTTTTCAACAAGAATAACGTAAATTAATTTTTCTAAGCGAATTTCAAAGCACCATTGTAACGTTAGTTGTCGCAAGGAATTAAGTGGTACGTTTCTAGACGTCTTTCAGTTCGTGAAGACCTAAGTTGCAACCACGTTATTAATTTGGGAGTAACATGGTAAAAACTTTGAAATGTACTGGGTTGATTGGCACACTTCTTACAAGGACCTAGCAAACTCAGTAAGTCTCTTCAGTAATACTTTTTGAAAAATCTGAAAGTTACGGCAGTTTTTTTTTTGACAAGGTGTTGTAAAACTATATCAGTTACGACATCCTGTATGTGTTTGTTTCTATCTTCGTCCGGTACACTGTATTTACGTATGTAAAGAATGACGAAAACGTATACTGCGTAAATACAGGGTGTCGGACGATGACAGAAACATACGTTTTACAACAACTTGCCAAAATTAAAAGATGTGCAGTGCAGCAGGTGCGTTTGTGTAAATTGTGTGAAGTCTCTAAAAAAAAGATTTGAAAGATTTGAGAATGAAAACCGTAAAACATCCTTCTATGTCTTTCGGTATATATTTGATTCATGTTCAAATGGACGTCACTGTGCTGTTTTTATGCTTTGCTAATCTAGCATATGTTTGTACAGAGTGCGGAAGAATAATTCTTCTGTAGGTTTAAAATTGTTAAACGAATTATTCTCCTCGTCACACTAAAAATTTTCCCGTACGCGTTTAAGCAGTTACGCTGTCATGTTTTCAGTAAAAATGGTCGAACCGAATACGTTGGACGGAACATATGGACACAAAATACTGTATAGAGCATCTGTCACGTAATATATTACGCAGAAACTGCTGAAAATTTTAGAAATGTTTTCAGAACTGAACTTTTACTAGTAAAAATCACAACAGTTTTTGACAAATTTCGAACAATATTTTGCGGTGGTGATTAAACACATATGTATATACACAATGTTATTTTATGGGTAATGCAATTAATGCAAGTGAAATCTTTTGTTTTCAATGAATAATTTCTTTTTTATTATAGTCACCTTTTACATTTATTGCAGCGATTACTTAAAATGTTTCCTTATTCTGGAACCGATTAATTACGTTTAGTTTTACTCCTTAAAATTTTGGTTGCCGTTTAGAATAATGTATTCCTTTTATTATAATTGTATTGTAATATTTAGGATCCATTCGACGAATTGTTAATTTAATTTCATTAATTCCCGTTCTCATTCACTTAGGCGTTTTACTAATTAAGTTTTCGTTAATTGTATTTATGAAATAAGTGATGTTTAAATTCATTGATTATCATCCGCTACTGATTGCTAGGGATGCAAGCGTCCCTACCTATAATCGTGCCGTATTCCGACAGAAATCCGCTCTAGATTCATCAACCAAACCCGAATGACTGGCCTGTCGAAAAATTACCGGTTATCCCTAAATTCTTAACTGTTTATTACACTCTCTCAATATGTCCTAAACACCCTTTGTGATAAGAATTCGTGTCGGTATTAAAATCATGATGACTAAAGGGCGGATTTGTATGCACTGATATTGGTAAAAATTTGCGCGTATATATGCACAAAATTTCTTCGAAGTATGTATAATTTTTTGCGAAATGTGTAAATTTTTATGCACATATGTAATTTACTTCCGGCGACTTGGAGAGAAATAACAATAAACTACAAGCAAAAAACATGAGAAGTGTATATAATTATAATTACATTTATTACTTACAACATGTTTTTGTATAAAGCATAAATGCACTATAAACTACATATTTTCTTGCTGCTCAATACCAATTTTTTCAAAGGATCTTCCTACATTTAGAAAACCATACAATAAAAATAAGAATAAATAAAGCTGTTAATGGGAATACGAAATCCTACTTTGGTTATTTTGTTTCTTAAACGTGCAAATTTTCATTATAAAAAGTTTATTGTTTTTAAAACATGCAGTTATGACGAAGATGTGTCAACTTGTAAAGTGAAAGTAAGTGCAAGTAGGTGTCAAACGAGAATACCTTTTGTACTCTGTCATCGACTAGGTGATTAAAAATTTTATCAACCATAAATTATAATAGGGACATATGGTTTTATTTAAATAATAATTACAAACAATGACAATGATTATGTACACAATGAATGAACGCGAAACTCCCAGTTTGAAGTTTAGTGATGGTAAAGATTTGACTCATGTTCGCTTATTTGATTTGTAGCACTGTTTGCTACTGCCAGTAGTGCAGAACCTTCGGCATTATTTTGAGCTTCTTGAGCGGCAGCAGCGGCACTTTGTACCGACTGCTGAGTTTCAGCTAGTCCAGCTAAGGCTTCATCCAATTGAAGATGCAACCTTCCAAGTCTTTGCTGAGCATCTTGAATCATTTGATGTTGAGCCGCGGCAGCCTGTAACGCAGCAGAGGCGGTACGTTCTGTTTGAGTGGAAGATTGTTGCACAGCGGCAAGAGCAGCAGTAGCGGCAGTCAATTGCTGCTGGCTTTGTTGGACGGCGTTTTGAGCGGCACTGGCGGCTTCAAGAGCTTGCTGGTACTACAACACAATAAGAAATAATCACCTTTAGAATACGTTAATTTTCAAATTACCTGTCCCTGTTCAGCTAGCAATTGATGTTCAGCGTCCTCAACTTGCGCCTGCAAATTTTGAACAATAATTTGCTTGGCGACTAGAGCTACTCTTGCGGCGTGAGCTGCTTCTTGTGCGGCACGAGCGAATCCATTCTGGGCTCCTGCAGCTGCTTGAACACCGGCTGTTTGCTGATTTTGTACAGCCGTTCTGGCTTGAAGTGCCGAAGAATGAGCCAAACTGGTGAGTTCAGCGCTAGAAGAGTACTTCTTGCCTCCGTGAGACGAATAATCGCCGGACAACTGAATGGTGCCTACATGGCCGGTGGATTGGGTTTCTTGTTCTGGGACAACCACTCTCAATTTTTGTTGCTTGGCGGCGGCGATCGCTTTAAATAAGATTTTGATGAGAAATAAAACCGCAAGAAATATAGTAGACTTACCTAAGATGGCTATCAAAACAACAAAAAATCTAGACATAGTTGCCTGCAAAGAATTTATTTTATTCTTAATTTTTGGTTTTTTACTAGTACTTACGCTGTTGTAGGGGATTAGCTTGTACGAAAGTCGAGAAGTTACTAACGATGCTGTTGGAAAAATTGCTATTTATACCATAAATAACAATCCTGTGCATGTACGTGATATGGTTCGTTGAAACTAATTTGTATACAGTTGCTTTCTAATAGAGCTTCGATTAATTTATTTTTTTTTTTTGAAAATTAATAATATCAGGTAAAACCAACTTTTAAATAAAACTTAAAAATTATTCAAAATAAATCTGATAGCAGTGGTTAATTTTTCACTTTTTTAATCTATCTGTCCAAATCGATATTTTGTTTTTATAAGCGTTCATCAATTTGACGTAAGGAATTTTTTGATGATTTTTCTCGAACTTAAGCATTTTTGAATCACCCTGCATTATATCTTAGTTCAGGCAAATATTAGATAAAAACCGTCTTAACTGGTCCATGTTTTTACTTTTATAATGACTTTGGCTGTTAATTGTTAACTTCGTCTATTTGGTTTCTTTATTTATGATAACGTCTACATCTTTCATGAGAATCTTATTTTGAGTCTTAATTTTAAGGGTTGATCTTATTATAATTATCATTACTAATATTATTATTAAATTTTGTACATACTTTAATTCAGACGTAGTTCTAGATTGGACAACTTAAACTAAATTTAAAGCAAGATAGATGTTGATAATATGTAATAAATATGTACCTACATATGTAATGACTATTGATTTTTTCGACAGCAGCCTTTAGAGGTTTTTTAACAAAGCATATTTTTGCAGCTTTGAAGAAGATCTCTTCAAAAATATGACCATTTAATGATAATTTTGCATTAATTTCTTCCTAAAATCCGTAAACAATAGTGTGTAACAACACATTAAAAATAAATTGTACAATAACAGACCATTAAAATCTATGTTTCAAAAATTCATCTAATATCGCGCCAAAATGAGATATGTACACAAAATTATAAAACCCGCGGAAATTTAAATTTTAGCCTTGAACTGTGACAGTCTTCACTCTATATTTTTTTAAAAATGAATTACGTAAGATAAAAATATGAGTACATTGTTAATCCACAGATAAGGAAGAATGTTATTATAATGATTTTATAAAATATACTTTGAGACATATTTACTCATCAAAATTTTTAAATATCATTAAATTTTTGCTTGAGAGGAATAGGCCAGTTTTACCATATATCTATCGATCATTTCTGTTGTACTTCTTAGCTCACTCTCCGGAAGTAAGTTATATTTTTGTCAGAAAACTGGAGGATTCTGGGAGTAGGGAGGAAAAATTTGAATTTTGCATAAAAAGCAGCTCTGAAAACAAAAATCAGACTAAAAGTAGTTGAAACAAATGAAATGTGGACGTTTAATATCACTTGAGACACTTTAGCTTGATTTATACGAATTGTAATCCCGGTAATTTCAGTTACTCACTAAAAATTTTGATCCGCCTGAAAATAATATGAGTATTATTTTATAAGAAAATAAAAAACTTTCGTGTTCTGCAACATTTGTGTTAGGAGTTCTACAAAAAAACTCTCTGATAAGCAGTACATTGAAAATGTTTTGTTACTTCACTTTACGCAAAGATGTTTAATACGTTCTAGCGCAGTACATTTTTGATTTTGAAGAGTATAGGTTCGTTCTGTTGGTAAACTGGTTAGTTTAATTAATGTCTTACTTTTGTATTAAAGTAAAACCTGAGTGTTGTTATGTGCACAACAGAAACCATGGATTTAAAGGGTAATTGTTGTTAATTATATTTTATTTTATTGATTATATCATTCGCTGTACGTGTCGTTTATGGTATACTATTTCCAGCGATAGATTGGAAAATTTTGAATTCACAATCGCCAATCGGAGAATCCAAAATATACTAACTTTATACGGTTAAAGCTGTTAAAGAGTTGTAGTTTAAGTTGGCAACCAACGTTTCTTTTCCCGCGCAACGAATTTTCTACGCCTCTATGCCTGCGCCAGTCGGCAGGTTTCGTTTAACCATGGCCGACTAGTATAAAGATTATGGCCTGTCCAAAGGAATGTCAAAGGTACATTACGTGCTGCCATCTATTAATAATTCAAAAACGACAAAAGAATTATTAACACCTTTTGAAAGGCACAAAGGCATTCATACCGAAACAAACCACCATTACACGTTTTGAAGTCCCATAATGTCAAGTCAAATTAAAATTTTGCTAAATTATTAAGGGCCGGTTGCATAAACGCAAATCAAATTTAATCTCTGATTAAGAACAATTGTAACTATGATAATAACAATCGTTACTATGGAGTTAATCAGAGATTAAATTTGATTTGCGTTTATGCAACCGGCCCTAAGTGTAATTATTAATAGATGGCAACACGTATCGTACCTCTTGGACAGGCCATAATCTTTATACTAGTCGGCCATGGTTTAACCTGTGTTTTGGACGATCAACTGATTGACGTTAATTTAAAATTTTGGTTCAAAAAGTTAAAAAGTGTGTTTTTGCGTTTAGTGTTTGTGTTTTTTTACTTGCTTTGATTTGTTAGGTATGATATTATAGACCTTTGTGCTATTTTTGTATAGTGGCTGAAGTTTGGACATTTTAGGTTAAGTTGTTTGTGTCAAAAAACGTTTCATATGGACCCCATGGAAAACATTACGAATAAAATTCATAATTACGCAAGAGTGTGTTGTTGATTTATTCTGTGCAATAATTATATACCATTATATTTTGTAGCCCTCTTCAACCCGCTGCAATATGACTGTCGTTGACAACATTGTGGCACAGAAAATAATTGCCAATGCGTATTCATTTTTCAAGAAGGAAAATTTTAATTTAAGATGCCCTACAGAGGTTGTTACTTCAATATAAAGTGCGTAATGTTATTCGAAGTGTATGTTCCAGTGTAGATAATATTGTCTGTTGGAAATAAATTGTGTTATTATATATTAAAAGTAATTTTACGTAGTTCAACATTATTTTCAAATCTACTTATATTTCAAATAAAGCGTCTTTGGCACTACTTTTTATAGCGGTCTATTTGGTGACTTTTCTGTCAGCTAATCTATCGGTGGAAATACTATATTCACTTTTTTAGTTTAAATGGGTACAATAATATTAATAATAAAATAATAATACGAGTGTATTGTCAAGTTTGACATTTTGAAGTATGTATTTAATAGATCAACAAAATAGATATATTTTTACCATAAAATTTTATTTTATTATAAAAATGATGACGTCTGAAAATGTGTGTAATACATTTTTAATGAAATGCGTGTCTTGTTTTTGTGCGTGTTTCAGTAACATGGTTCTATTTTTTATGATTACTTATACCGCAGGATATGGCAGAAAAATGAATTAATGAAGAGGTGCATCTTATTGATTAAATCAAAAATGGTTCGTCTAATTTGCTAAAAATTCTGTTACACTGTCTGTATAAAAAGTTAGCGATGTCACTACAAGATTTCATAAACAAATAAAAAGTTTTATCATCTAGTAATGATATTTTTGTAATTTTTGAAAATATGCCAACATGTTTTAGTGATTGCAGGTCAGAAATTAGAACAATAAATATGGAACGCATTTGTGTCAAAAGTTTTTAAATTAAAACCATAGTAACAATTATATCAATCAGTTCACTATAAGTCGAACAGATTACAGAATATTAATAAAATTGTAGGAGTATTTTCTTAGTAATACTCTTCAAATAATTTTATTGATGACATCATCGAAAAAAATATGAAAAACACATTACGAAATATTTATTCATAAATTACTTAACCAGCAGCTAATTTTCGGAAATACATGCATAGTGTTGATCTAATTCGGAAAACATATTAGATTATTTTAATAATATTGTGTGATAATAATCCTTGAAATATTACTTTTGTTATCCCATCATGATTATAAAGATGATCCCTTCATGAACATAAAGATTCAAAATAAAAAAACCTTTGTATTCTATAAATTTATTTCGATAAAAATGTTACTTAATAACAACAACTTTTAGTAACTATTACAATTATTTAAATATTAACAGTAACCAAGATGACACTGGTTATTTACAGAATAAATGAACACAAACTTCGTCTTGTCAGACTTTAGTGATGGTAAAGACTTGTATCATGTTCACCAATCTGATTACCAGCGCTACTTGCTACAGCCAGTAATGCAGAACCTTCGGCATTATTTTGAGCCTGTTGAGCGGCAGCAGCGGCTCTTTGTGCCGCAAGCTCAGTTTCGTGCAACCCAGATAAAGCTTCTTCCAGCCTGAGATGCAAATGTCCAAGCCTCTGTTGAGCGTCTTGGATCATTTGATGCTGGGCAGCAGCAGCCTGTAGGGCAGCAGAGGCGGCACGTTCGGTTTGAGTGGCAGATTGCTGAACGGCGGCAACTGTAGCAGTGGCGGCGGCGAGTTGTTGTTGGCTTTGCTGAACGGTGGTTTGAGCGGCGTTAGCGGCTTCGAGAGCTTGTTGATACTACAAAATCGAAAAAAAAATTAATGTCATTAGAGTATAATATAAATAAATTACCTGGCCCTCTTCAGCTTGTAACTGATGTTCAGCCTCCTCAATCTGTTCCTGCAAATTCTGAACAATAACTTGTTTCGCAACTAAAGCTACTCTTGCGGCATGTGCAGCTTCTTGGGCGGCGCGAGCAAATCCGTTTTGGGCTCCTGCAGCTGCTTGAACGCCTGCTGTTTGCTGATTTTGTACAGCCGTCCTGGCTTGAAGTGCCGAAGAATGAGCCAAACTGGTGAGTTCAGCGCTAGAAGAGTACTTCTTGCCTCCGTGGGACGAATAATCTCCAGATAACTGAATGGTGGCTACGTGGGCGGTGGATTGGATTTCTGGTTCTGGGACAATCGCGCTCAATTTTTGTTGTTTGGCAGCGGCGGTCGCTACAAGTGAGATTTCGGTGAGAGATGAAACTATAAAAAAACATAATTAACTTACCTAGGAAAGCGATCAAAACAACAAAAAATCTAGACATGATTGGCTGCAAAGAAATGATTAGTTTATTTTTTTTTATTTTTGAATTTTTATGATTCTTACGGTGTTGTAGAGGATTTGATTTCACGAAGGCGAAGAAGCTACTGATGATGTTGCTGCAGAAATTGCTATTTATACCATAAATAATAACCCATGTGCATGATCGTGAAATGGTTCGCAGAAATTAATTTGAATACTTTTCAATACTAATGGAGATGTGATTAAATGTATGCAAGTTCTGCAAATAATATTTTTATATAACATAGAACAGCTTCGCATAGAAATAGCGTTATTTTTGTATTTTATGAACATTATACTTATCTATATTTTTTGATGAATATGCGTCTTATATGTGAATCAGAATTTAAAAATTGTTAAAAATGCCTTGATTTTTATTTATTATTATCATTTTAACAGAATTACTCTTCATCTACAGAAAAAATATTTAGTGAAGTATAAAGTGTTTTTATTTGTATTTGTTAATAATACAAACAAATCCCAACTTCGTTCTGCTCTAATACTGTTTAATCCTTCATTTAAAAATACGTTTTTTGTGGTTTTTCCCAGTTATGGTGTGAAGGAAACTAATTAGTGAAAAGAGGTTACAACATGCATCTTTGTTGTACCATTTCTATTTAATTTTGCATTTTTCTTTACTAAACGAAATTTCCATTAATTCATTTCCACCACACTATGTTGGGAAAAGAAACTACGAAAAATGTGTTTGTATGTCAGTAATGAACAATCACTAAAGACAGTAAAATCAAGAATCGTTATTTATATATGAGTAATGTACTCATATGATCCGTAGATTACAAGATCTGACAAAAATCTGTCAATTAACTAACAAGTAGTTTTGCAAAATAAAAAATTCAAAATCCCTCGACATTTTGAAAATGTTCATTCTGCATATAATATACTAATAACAGATGATAAATTCGTTTCTTTAGTTTATGTTTTAAAAAATCTAGTTTATTTTTTATTTAGGCAGAACTTTCCTCCCCTCCAGTGGCGTAAATAACACCCCCGCATCTACTACGACGCGGAGGCCGCGGTCAGTACGGACACTATTAAATATATTTAAAGTATATAACTAACGGGAAAAATATATTATCAATACATGCTTCACTTCGGTTCTTTATGTTTATCCATGCGTCTATTGTAAGAGAAGACGTGTGAAAATATCATTTAAGCTAAAATGAAGCAAACCGTTGTGAACCTTATTTTTCGTATAATCTTCAGTCCTAAACGAGATGGAAGGAACGTTACTGCCACTGCTGCTGTTAATATGTAGTAAAATCTTGTCAGCAAACTCTATCTTGATTGATAAAGAAACTGATACAGATCGTTCAGCAACTCCAGACGACCTGCAGTGTTACGGAATAAAAAATGTGTTTTATTATACCATGACCGCAGTGACGTTGAAGTGCTATAACGTCAACTCCAATATTTGCTAACAAAATAGACGAAGTCCTTCTCAAAACATGTCCTGTTTAATATTTTGGATCTTGAAGTTTTAAATATTCGGCAACTTTTTCAGCTATTTGTCCTATGGTGTTTATGTCCACAAGTTGATTTACGGATTTTCTTTGACGAATTGAATTGAAAAAATTAAGGAGAGTTTGTCACTTTGGGTCTTGACTGTATATTTTTGAAAAATATTTAGAAATTAAACTTGTTCATTGGATTTATAAATAATTGTGAAACTTCGATTTTAATATGTCTTTGTATCAGGTACATTAACAATGACAAGTGAATCTTGATTTGTGATATCATCATCCATCATCTTTGTAAGCTCATCACCCCTAAGACCCCCAGCAATCCCCATTATTATAACAACTTTCATCATAATATAGACTTCGTCGGGAGTTTCCAATAGAATTTTTTTCCTCTCCTCCATCGTAATTACCTTAGATGTTTTGGATGATGTCCAATATTTTTCTTCTTTAGAAATGTCACTACAAAGGCTTCCACCAGACTTCAGTTTTAAGCTTCTCTGAACAAAATAAGCCACCAAAGTTTTTTCAGTTCTCATTAATTTCTTCCCACACAACCATTTTTTGAAGCTTTCATAAACTTTTTCATACCTTACCTTCGATTTTTTTGGAATTAAAGACTGACAACCCATCTCATATGCTTTTTCTATTTCTAAATCTATGTCGCAATTGTTTTTTTCAGCCTTTACATAACCCTATTTGTGTCAGGGTTTACAAATGTTACATTCATGCAATCTTACGATGAGAATGATAACCACAAAATTATTAAAAATTGAAATTGTTTATTCGGTAACATAAATCCAAGGGATTCTAGATATTCGTAACAGAAACCACTTCCTACTTTAAACATATTCGTGTCAAATCCATTTAATCTTAATTTTTTATGACTTGATTTCTATAAATGCGTTTGTACGAAAAACGTTACTCCACATGGTTGTTAAGCCTCTAAAAAAATCTCGAAAATAGAAAAATCTCGCCTGCGTGTCGATTTTTAACATTTTTCTCGATTTTGTTATAATGTACTTACCAACCCTATAGCGTATATACTACTGAGCAAGTTGTCGTTATTATGATAATTCTTATTTTATTATTATTAAATATAAGCGGGCTCAACATTACGATATTCTCAAATTTTCGACGTGATGCATGAGTCAATCGAACCAGTGACCTTGGAATTAGTAATTTAACATTTGTACGCCACGGATACGAGAGTTTACATCACATGTTATTCCTCTTATATAGGTATAAATTGTGATGATGCAATTTGGATTTTTTGCGAAAATTTGGATTTCTAGGGTAAAAATCAAGGCGAACTGATAAACCCTAAGACTAGAGGAAAACTATGATGAGCGAGTATTTTTCTACATTGATAACATTAGCTTTTGAGAAGAAAAATGTACACAAACGCGTGGAAAGCTTTTCATAGGTGTGTTTTTCAATCAGGACAATGAGTCCATTCACAAATGTTTCACTGCGATTTAGAAAATTGATGAAATCGGTTATGGATGTTTTTATCATTTAGCTGTTCGCTAGATCTGGCTTTGTTAGACTATTATTATCTACTTCTAAATGTTCTAAAACTTCTAAAACTAAAACAAGTCTGAAAAGGGAAACGTTCTCATGGACTACAGCAGTTGTAACTAGCGGTTTACAGATCAAAGTATCATTTTATAAGTGTTGTATAAGTTGCATGCATAGAGTTAAAAGGTATTTAAGATGAATAAATAAAAATTTCTTTTGAAATAAGTACAACATTTTTCCGGTTAGGCTAAGCTTTCTCATATGTGTATGGTGACATGACTAATAGCTTAATGTAAGAAAAAACAAGTGTCAAAATGGCGTGATGATATCAATTAATATTAAGTTATATAAATAATTATATCTTTAGTTAATCGGTTTATTGAAAAGAATTACAGTCAGTTTAGCGATGCACGGTTGGAGAAATTTACGGGTTCGAGTTGGAATATAGATATATAGTCATTTATTCAGTGACGTATGTAATTTGACTTCTCCGAATAAGTATTTTACCTAGGTAAATTTGAATTTTTCGACTTTATCAGTAAGTTGAGTTATTTGACATATTGGTTAATGGCTAGGCCTCTTGTAGATGAAAGAAATGTAAAAATCAACAACTGTTTACTATCAACACATTTTGCTTTATTCAAACATAAACGACGACAATGAGTATATACAGAATGAATGAACACGAAATTGTCAGCCTTCTCAGAGGTTAATTAATGATGGTATAAGTTTGAATCATGTTCACCAATCTGATTGGCAGCGCTGTTTGCTACGGCCAGTTGTGCAGAAGCTTCGGCATTATTCTGAGCTTGTTGAGCAGCAGCAGCGGCTCTGTGTGCTGATTGCTGAGTTTCAGCTAGTCCAGCTAAGGCTTCATCCAATCGAGCATGCAACCTTCCCAGTCTCTGCTGAGCATCTTGAATCATTTGATGCTGGGCAGCAGCAGCCTGTAAAGCAGTAGCGGCGGCACGTTCTGTTGTAGTGGCAGACTGTTGCACGGCAGCAAGAGTAGCAGTAGCGGCACTTAATTGCTGTTGGCTTTGCTGAACAGCGTTTTGAGCTGCGTTAGCGGCTTCAAGAGATTGTTGATACTATAATTAAATATCAGTTTAGATTTTTTTGGGAATTATAAGAGTGTTGTTGTCTCATTTAATTTCAAATTACATACCTGTCCCTCTTCAGCCTGTAACTGATGTTCAGCATCCTCAACTTGCGCCTGTAAATTTTGAACAATAACTTGCTTGGCGACTAAAGCTACTCTTGCGGCGTGAGCAGCTTCTTGTGCGGCGCGGGCAAATCCGTTCTGAGCTCCTGCAGCTGCTTGGACGCCGGCTGTTTGCTGATTTTGCACAGCCGTTCTGGCTTGAAGTGCCGAAGAATGAGCTAAACTGGTGAGTTCAGCGCTTGAAGAGTACTTCTTGCCTCCGTGAGACGAATAGTCTCCAGATATCTGAATGGCTGATAAGTGGGTGGATTGGGTTTCTTGTTCTGGGACAATCACGCTCAATTTTTGTTGTTTAGCGGCGGCGGTCGCTGCAAATGAGATTTTGTGAGGCAGAAAGGTATATAAAATAAAATTAACTTACCTAGGAAGGCGATCAAAACAACAAAAAATCTAGACATGATTGCCTGCAAAGAAATTATACATGTATTTATTTTTTAATTTTTAGATTCATAAGATTGCTTACGATGTTGTAGAGGATTTGATTTCACGAAGGCGAAGAAGATACTGAAGATGTTGCTGCAGAACTTGCTATTTATACCATAACTAATAACCCATGTGCATGATCGTGAAATGGTTCGCTGAAATTAATTTGCATGCATTTCAATTATAACAGACACGTGATAATTAAGTGTATGTAAGTTGTAGGTACAAATAATATTTTTGTATAACATGAGTGGTACCGTAGTTTCCAAAAAATTTCGGGCAAATGACATTGACATGAAAGTAATATTCCCATTGCTTTTGATTGATCTATAAGAACATGATTGCCTCATCTCGACAAAAATTTTTTGTTGTTAGATATTATAGCGCAGTTTGTGAAAAATATTATATTTATATGTTTCCTCTTAATATGTGTGTTACATCATATCCGAATTATAAGTAGTTAAAAAATTGTAAAAAGTGGCACTCTTTGTTATTATGGCTTAGAATGATTCGTTCGCAGGAAAAATTGTTAAGTAAAATATAAATGCGAAGGAAAGCAATAATTAATGAAATGAGGTTACGGAATCTTCTTTGATCTCTCGGTGCACATTATAACGATAATTAGTATTACCGCATTTCAACACTGAAAACACAAAAATTCTTGACTCGTTTTGGCAACCACGTTGGCGTTATCGTGATAAAACTAAAAACTAAACTGAGGTTTTAATAACATATATCTTTATTTTACCATTTTTTTTTAATTTTGTATTTTGCTTTAGTCAAGTAAAGTGATAAGCTCCTTCCGTTAATTCATTTCCTTGAGTAGTTGGGAAAAGAAACCATAAAAATATGTTCATGTTCAATTCAATCATAATCACCTCAATTATGATAGTCGGAGTAGTTGAACTCGACCACGGCCCAATATGTCCTATAATCCCTAAGTTGACATCGACCACCAAACTCGGACCAGCGGATTAAGAGATTAAGTCGGTATTAGACGAGGTACAGTCCGGTATGGTTAGGTACTATTTAAATAAAATTGTACACCCTTTTCGTCTATCAGTTGTATGCTAAAAATGGAGGTGTCAACAATGTTTAGTCAAAGGAGAACCTATTTCGTCCACAAAAAATCATTGCAGGTTTTGAAATGGCAATTCACCAAGCAATTAATGGTGTAAATTTCATCATTGCCAGAATTGGTACATAAAAATTCAGAATGTAGGTTTGGTAGAGGAATATGAAAATAACACAGAAATTAGCCAATAATATCTTGAATTGTTGTTTGGACTTCCGTACATTCACACTTCAATTCATCATTTTAATGATGCTTTAATTGATTTTTTCAATGCAACACACACGTAAAAAAATCATGCAGCAAACTACTTTGTAAAGAGAATCAGAAAAGATATCAAAGAAAAACAAATGTATGTTAGAAAATAGGTGGATAAGCTTTACTTATACGGAAATATTAGCCATTTAGAATTTGTCAGAAGTGTGTTATAGGTCATTGCCAAATAAACATCTCTAAATACCTTGAATATTTTACTTTTCCATCTGATATTTTTGGGTTTACTATCAAATAATTAGTGCCCCCCCTGGAGGGTAAGCAGATACCCTGGTCTAGTTCGCATACGCCCGCTCATGGTCGAGTTCTACTATGTGTTAATCCGTATACCCTTCTCCACAAGGATTATAGCAAGTACTGTGGTTGAGTTTGCAGACCCCCATGATACTACCCACAGTCCATAATCTGCCTCATTATTGTACAAGTACAATAAAAATTGTGTTTTGGATTCCAGTGGTGCCTATCACTTTATTGGACTGTAAAGTAATTTGGACTGCAACCTTAGATCATATAATAAATAGATACCAGTACTCAAACTGAAAGCTGTGACTAGACATGAAGCTATCTGTTGTCGTTTTCTACGTCAAGAGGAGTAGTATAATGCTATCCTTGTGTGATCACCACATCTTCATCTTTGTTATATGCATTTCATCTGTATATGTCTATTTCACTTCCATCCTTGTACCGCACCAGCACAACAAATCGCTTTTGACAGATGTTTCTTCTAACCTCTCTTTCGAGTTGTTGTACAGAAAACAATTTTAGAATTTAGAACAAAGATCCTATTTTAAGTGATGTAATCATAAAGGATCACAATTGCTGCACAATAATTTACTATTCCTTTCATTATCTACTGTGAATTATTTATAAAATCAAGCTGTCAACATCTTTCGTACGAAGTTAGTTCAGACATACTTCCTAAAATTTAGGCGCGCAAAATTCAAATAGTGATCAGGCAAGGATAGCTTCATTGTAATCCCTCCATGCACGAAAGAGATGTGTGACAGGAGGATGTCGTCACAGGCTCTGCTAGGGAAAGAACACGGCATGGTGGTATCTATTTATTATATGATCTAAGACTGCAACACAATTCATATGACTGCGACAACGGCAGCACCTACTAAACATTATTAACAATTTTAAAAAGGAGCTGAAAAAGTTGCAAAAAAAAATTCTCTTGTAGAGGTAAACACAAAGCTATGTATGTCACACGTAAATAATACCTTTTATTGGACTTGCCCCTTTATTAGCCTCGCGAGCAAGTTTTCTTGGCCATAAAAGGGTGCGTCCAATAAAGCTATGTGTATTATTTACTTGCAACATAAATAGTTGTTTTATGTTAATTTTAAAGACAATTCCGAATAATTTATTTGCAATGGTAAAACTGTTATTTTATACTATCTTGTGAAAAACAATAAAAACTCAATAAAAAAAGAAATTATAGTTGTCTATGCTTTTTCACAACGAACTGGGAACTCTATCTTGTGAGCTTCATGTCATGTCATTAACATATTTTGAAGTTAAAACTAATTCAACTGTGGACACCAACGTTATTTCAAAGCATTGAAGAACTCCAAGGAAGAATATTAAATGTGATTGCTGATATTTCTCCTAATATTTTAATAGATTCATTTGAAAACTTTGTGCTATGTATTTATTATAGGCAGGAAGTAAATGGAGAACATTTGTTGTAAAATTATCTTTTTTCAATAATGTAATTTTTTATTTAAATTTGTCAAAAAGCTTTTATAACAATGTAAATGGGAGTATTGTTATTTTTAGAATATTTCCTAAATTATTTGGAAACAGCATTATCAATCTGTTACGCTGGCGTCTTTATTTCAGTTTATGTATCCTCAGTTCTATCATTTTTACAATGACTGTGTACTAGTATAATTTTTGAATAAAGTGTGCTAGCTAGCTACGATTTTCTGATTTTCAGTATTTTTATTTTGACAGTTTATTTTACCATGTTGAGAAAAAATTAAACAATGCGCCCTTTACAATTCTAGAATTAAAAAAATGCACTATTTAAAAATGGGACATTTGACTACTTGTGCTATAAAAATAATCAAATTAGCCCTTAATCTCAAAATCAAATAAACTATAAAATTTTAAAAAATGCAGAAAATATTACTTGAGTTCCTAGGAACAACCCAAATTTAAAAAGAGTCAATAAACCGTTCTCGCGATATTCAACTGCTTCCATACTTTTTAGCGACCCTATAGGTCTATTATTATATGTGTATAATAATATGTATATAATTACTTTTTTTGAAAATGGATGAGGAAATTGTAATAGGTAATAATTGCTCATATCGTTTACATGGTGTTTAGGTTTAGTTTAAAACGTTCTAATTAGTCAACAAAACTATGCAAATATGTTTAATTGTTTAATACATGACATGGTGCTTTTAATTTTTTTCGTTCGTACTTGCTAACAAATCGTAAATAGTTAACAGTTTCGTGGTGCACAGTTCGAACAAGTTACGGATTCCAGTTCTAATAGGATGCTGTTCTTTCGTAAGGTTTTCTGGCTGTATTGTTTGAATATAGAAAACGTATAAAAATAAACAACTATTTACTACCAATACATCTTACTTTTATTTAAATATAAACGATGACAATGGATATATACAGAATGGATGAACACGAAATTGTCAGTCTTCTCAGAATTTAGTGGTGGTAAAGATTTGAATCATGTTCACCATTCTGATTTGCAGCGCTGTTTGCTACGGCCAGTAGTGCAGAAGCTTCAGCATTATTTTGAGCTTGTTGAGCGGCAGCAGCGGCTCTTTGAGCCGACTGTTGAGTTTCAGCTAGTCCAGCTAAGGCTTCATCCAATCGAGCATGCAGCCTTCCAAGTCTTTGCTGAGCATCTTGGATCATTTGATGCTGAGCGGCAGCAGCCTGTAACGCAGCAGCGGCGGCACGTTCTGTTTGAGTAGCAGACTGTTGTATAGCGGCAAAGGCAGCAGTAGCAGCGGTTAATTGCTGTTGGCTTTGCTGGACGGCGTTTTGAGCTGCATTAGCGGCTTCGAGAGCTTGTTGGTACTACAAATGAATACAATGTTTTTTCATATTTTTGCCTAATTTTCAAATTACCTGTCCCTCTTCAGCTTGCAATTGATGTTCAGCATCCTCAACTTGCGCCTGCAAATTTTGAACAATAACTTGCTTGGCTACTAAAGCTACTCTTGCGGCGTGAGCTGCTTCTTGTGCGGCACGAGCGAATCCATTTTGGGCTCCTGCAGCCGCTTGGACCCCTGCTACTTGTTGATTTTGCACCGCTGTTCTGGCTTGAAGTGCCGAAGAGTGAGCCAAACTGGTGAGTTCAGCGCTTGATGAGTACTTCTTGCCTCCGTGAGAGGAATGATCTCCAGATAACTGAATGGCTGATAAGTGGGTGGATTGGGTTTCTTGTTCTGGGACAATCACGCTCAATTTTTGTAGTTTAGCGGCGGCAGTCGCTGCAAATGAGATTTTGGTGAGAGATAACATTATAAAAAATAGAATTAACTTACCTAGGACGGCGATCAAAACAACAAAAAATCTAGACATGATTATCTGAAAAAGGTTTTAGATATATTTTGATTTTTGTTTTTTTTTTGACTTACGGGATTGTAGAGGTTTTGATGGCACGAAAGCTGAGAAGTTACTGATGATGCTGCTGCAGAAATTGCTATTTATACCATAAATAATCCGCGTGCATGTTGGTGAAATGGCCAGTTGAAATTAATTTGCATACATTTGAATTCTAATTGAGAAGTGATTAATTGTGCGTAGCTTGTACACAATTGTTTAACACTAATTGTAACAAGTACTTAGGATTATTCTTCCCGTAATATAACTTTTTAAGATATTATTAAATACAAATTTTTGCACTGTACAATATTTGCTACTAACTATGGGGGTCCTTAAAAGTAAATCAGGAAAAATACATGTTTTATATTTATAGTTTATATATAGTTCAACAATTGTAAACAATCTTATCATCGTTAATTATTATGAAACGGAATGATTCATGATGATCCAGAAGAATTGCTTTTACGCTTACAGAATTACACCTTCATATGATGTGTGAGAACAGGGTCTAGTAAGTATGTAAAAATATAATATAATGTTAAAAAATCTACTGGTTTGACAAAAAAAGTCCAAAATTTTGTCATGTGATTTCTGCTTTTTTTAAGATGGTACATATGACACTCCACAGAAAATGATCGGGATTATTAATTACTGTTGCATAGTCGTAAGGAAAATACAATTCTGTGATCTAAAGTTGGATTAGTTTAGCTGTTCTTCCTCTGAACGTTATTTACTGATAGGCATTTTAATGAGACTATATTTTACATTAAACAAAGAAAAAACTTTTTTTGAACTTTAGAAACAATCGGATAAACTAGCCAGATTAGTGTACAGTAGTGTTGTTAGTTAGTAAACAGATACCGTAGCTGAAAAATATCCGGATACATATCCGGAGCTATTTATTAAAATAGCTTCGAAGCTTTTTGTTTCAAATTTTGCGTCAATGGAGATAGAATTTTGCAAATGTGACATATTAAAATCTATTACAAGAATAACAAAACATGTTGCAAAAAAAATCAAATCCTCATGAAGGTATAATATAACTTCATCTATCTTCTACTGATGGTTTGGATAAATATCTGGATTTTTTCTGCCAGATTAATCTTGGATAAATTACGAATAAAAATCCAGATTTTCAAGGAACATTTCATGAACTTTAGAGTACGAAATAGGTGGTGGCCCATTTTCATCTTTCTGTTTGTCGTCTGCCTGCCTGTCGTTGGTGTTAATATTTTTATTAAAGTGTTGTTAGATAATTTCCGAAACTAGTGGGCCTATTTTGATCAAATTTTATATGTATTTTAAGAGTATTGTGTAAACGGTAAAATGCTAAGCAAAATTTGTCTAATCATCCCCACCAACAATTTGATGACGTCCGCTCATTATATTGCGTAGTTAAGGATATTTAAATTTTACGAAATAAAGTACTTGCGGTTTATGAATCCTTTATGATTTTTATCGCAATTAGTTCACAATTTTTTTGTGCAATATTTTACACGTGGTTCATGGAGCCAATATCTTCCTATAGTAGGTGTCTAAGTTTGTAGGTGATTTTATATTTGTATGCTGCACGTCGAATCCCATCCTTACCGAGTGCTTCTTTTCACTGTGACTTGTGTTATTTATAGTTTTGTACTTATAGGGGTACAATTTTGAAAAATTAAATTTTATAATGTTTCGAAAAAAACAGAATTTTTTCGATTGCATTTAAGGCGTGAGGAAAGTTCGGTGTAAATAAACTTAGACGATTTTTTTAAGTAGCCGGTTATTTGACAACATTAGTGCAGATAAGATCTCATCTTCATAATTTGGATTAGATTATTTTAGATGTGTAATAAAATATCTGCAGTGTTATATGTCATGAGGCTGTTGTCAGATAATTCAGTTTTTAAAGGTCCTTGATTAAATTCGCCACTGAAATTTTTGGATCCACTGATGAGATGATTATGGTTTTAGGCTGCAAAAACGAATAATATTAAAAAAAAACACTCACAAAAAGTCTTGTCGCGATGTGTTCAAAATTAACAATTTCTTAAAATATATCGGCTATGTAGATTTATATTTCTATAAAATTTCTACTTCATATTCTACTATAATGGAAAATCACTGTAATACTAAATTCAAAATAAACTTACATTATTCTGCTCAAAAAATATACACCGGGTACAGAATCGTTTTTGAACCGTATGGATTTTACATGTAAATACAGAAATTTGAAAATATTGGCTATCCTTTTATTCTAGAGTAAAACATATACAAAAGTTGTAGATAATTAAAAACTGTATCTAAATTATTTTTTTAATTTATTTTGTAACATCTTATGGTATTGAAATAAAAAGGAAAAGGAATTCACAATTTGTGATAAAACAGTGGTAACCGTGAAATGTGACAATTAATACCCAATACATTAAGCATTGAAATCTTTCACATACCTATGTTAAAACAGCAGGGGTCCTAATACAGAGCCCTGCGGTACACCGCTCAAAACTAGTGGAACTAAACATATCATCAACTTTAAACCTCGAATGTTCGGTAAGAAAAAAAAAAAATAAACCTATAACCCCAGCTTTGCCGTTGAATGTTTAGAGGAGTGACACCTCGACCCGTGTAAGCGGACAGGGGATTGGATCCTCATTGGACACCCACTCAAAGTTTGCATCCCAATAGCGTTGCTTAATTAGCATTAGCACTTAGCCGGGATTTGACCTGTACAGTGCTGCACCCCTTAGTTTATAACCAACAAAATTTTGCATGATGTTATTACAATTATGACACCGATTTTTTTGCAATATTATTTGTTTTGTAAAAAAAAATTAAAAATAGAGCGATCGTTTTGATTTATGTTATGTATTCATATATATAATAATTAATAAATGTTAAATTAACAATTCAAAACAGAGAAAAAATGTGGTAAAAATGGAACTCATTTAGAGTCGGTCAGTATGTCGTCAACGCCTTTCTAGGTTAAAATAATTTAAAATTGAAGAAGCAGATAAATATTTTTCTGCACGTAGTATATTTTAATGTTATTTACGTGCATGCTGTGGTTGATTCATATTCAGTTGTTAAAAATATAAGACAGCGTGTCTCATCAAAACAGTTTTGTCAAAATAACGTGATGATAAATTAATTTTATGATAAAATAACCCTACAACAAAACAGCTTCGTGACGCAAGAGATCAACCTTAAGTTATTTATAAATCGCTAACAAGGTAAAATGATATTATCGTTATTCGTTATCGGATAGTATTCTTAGGACAGTAAGTATTTAAAGCATGCTATTTTTACCAATTTTTTGTTTATTTCTTAAAATAACAACAACACTGGCCTGGGTTTTTATTTAACGACGGTGCAAACGTTTTATTATTTGTTTTTACTTTCACTTGCATGTAGGGTAGTAATATAAAGTTACTCATGGATACCCAATTTTTTTTTTAAAGATTTTGTATTGTTTGTATATATTAACTGTGATTTTTTTTTAATTTGATCTTTGCCGTGTGATTTTTCTTTAGTTCCGAAACTCGTTTACAGCTGCCATTGTAATGATGTTTGCAACTTTTTTGATTGGAAAAACTACTTTTTTTTTGCTGGACTTGCAGACGGTAACTATTTAATTATTAATTATTTAACTTTCTTAGAATAAAAAAATCGGCAGTTAAGTCTTTTTGGTGTATAATTATTTTTACTTAAATATAAACAATAACAATGAATGTACACAGAATGAATGAACACGAAACTGTCAGTCTTCTCAGAACCTAATGATGGTAAAGATTTGAATCATGTTCACTAATCTGACTAGCAGCGCTGTTTGCTACGACCAGTAGTGCAGAAGCTTCCGCATTATTTTGAGCTTGTTGAGCGGCAGCAGCGGCTCTTTGAGCCGACTGCTGAGTTTCAGCTAGTCCAGCTAAGGCTTCATCCAATCGAAGATGCAACCTTCCAAGTCTTTGCTGAGCATCTTGAATCATTTGATGTTGAGCGGCAGCAGCCTGTAACGCAGCAGAGGCGGCACGTTCTGTTTGAGTGGAAGATTGTTGCACAGCGGCAAGAGCAGCAGTAGCGGCAGTCAATTGCTGCTGGCTTTGCTGGACGGCATTTTGAGCTGCATCAGCGGCTTCGAGAGCTTGTTGATACTGTAATTAAATAGGATTTAAGAAGATTAATTTTTTTTTCTAATGTTGTTGTCTCATTTAATTTCAAATTACATACCTGTCCCTCTTCAGCTTGCAATTGATGTTCAGCATCCTCAACTTGCACCTGTAAATTTTGAACAATAACTTGCTTGGCGACTAAAGCTACTCTTGCAGCGTGAGCTGCTTCTTGTGCGGCACGAGCAAATCCGTTCTGAGCTCCTGCAGCTGCTTGGACGCCGGCTGTTTGCTGATTTTGCACAGCTGTTCTGGCTTGAAGTGCCGAAGAGTGAGCCAAACTGGTGAGTTCAGCGCTAGAAGAGTACTTCTTGCCTCCGTGAGACGAATAGTCGCTTGAGAATTCAATGGTGGCAACGTGATCAGTGGATTGAGTTTCTGGTTCTGGGACAATCACGCTCAATTTTTGTTTTTTGGCGACGGCGGTAGCTATATATGAAATTTCGATTAGAGATAAAGTTATTAAAGATAAAATTAATTTACCTAGTACAGCGATCAAAACAACAAAAAATTTAGACATGATTGCCTGAAAAAAATGTTTTAAATATTTATTTTAATTTTTGAATTTTGTAGTGTTGCTTACGATGCTGCAGAGAATTTGATTTCGCGAAGGCGGAGAAGCTACTGATGAGATTGCTGGAGAAATTGCTATTTATACCATAAATAACAATCCATGTGCATGATCGTGAAATGATCCGCTGAAATTAATCTGCATGTATTTGAATTCTAATGGAGATGGATTAATTGCATTCACTTGTACATAACTGCCTAATATTAATTGCAGCAGGTATGGGATATTACTCTTGTCATAAAACGGATGGTTTAGTATTGTACATAACATTTAAAATAACATATTTTTTTATATTTTATGACTATAGTCCAGAACTTTAGTCAAGTAGATTCCTAGTTTTGGTACGACCATACAAAACATTTTACTTTGCGTTTTCCGGAAGCCGGTTGTACACCTCATATTTTATGGCAGAGAATTTTAATTTGTTACACTTGTTAAACCTGATATATTTGATACATTAATCTCCTTCGTTTAATAATCGGCAGAACATAAAATAATCAATAATCGTTTCATTGACTTTCATCAGATGTACTTTTTTCTTACAATACACATCGCTCAGCTGTCTTGTTTTCATTAGACCATCACATATGAAACGTAGTGGTTGAGATTTTTGTTGTCAAAAATGGTTTATTATATGTTTTATTTCTAAGGGGTAAACTAGAGCTGAGTTGTAATAGGGTCTATTTCGCGAATGGCTATTTTCATGTTTACTCGGGGCTTCGTAGCTTACGGAATATATAAAAAAAAAAATAGGATTGTAGTGAAATTTTTCACGTTTTTCAAGTAGATCATGTAGATGAAATAACGTTAACACCAAATTTCTTTTATTGTTGGCAACGAAAATTTACCTGGGAGTATATTTTTAAATTGGTGCCTGTAGATTAAAAAAAAAACAAAATTTTACTATTTAAATCAGAAACTGCAAAACTGATTGCATGAAAAGAAAATAGTAATCACGAAATTAAATAATGAAATTATTTGATTTCAAAATTTTGTTAAGTAAATTTTACTTGAAATTCATAATTTGGCCTTCCTTTTGTTCGTAGTTTAATAATGTGTGCATAATTTTAATGGTACGTATCTCGACTATCATTAAAAATAAAATTTGTAGAAGGAAGTGCTACAGTTTGTTTTGGAATCTAGGACACGAATTTTTTGAAATGTGATTTCATTTTTGTAAAAAGACTCTTTGTTTTTCTGCCCTGTTGTCCGTTCCACTTTACAAAACCCGTAAGTAATTCATTTCATATGGGAGAACGGCGGTGTTGTGAAAATAATTCCGGCGCAACTGGATTTTCTAGACATTGATTCGACTCGTTGACTGAATTGACTGAATAATGCGTTCCCGAAGATGGCCTTTATTTAAACCCATACGTTCCTCTGGATAGTTCGTGAACGCCGGTTCGAGGTTTTTCTGGACCCCGCAATCGAGACTTCCGGCGACCCGCTCTAGGATTTTCTTTATACGAACGCCGCCTGGCAGCCACCGATGATAACCGCCGTACATCCTAGAACGCTGTCGAGAAAACCCATAGGCGTCGTACTGGGGCGGCGTATGAGTTTATTTCGTAACAATAGCATATTTCAAAAACTATTCTAAATTTTGTCTTAGTTTTGACTGCAAAATAACCAAACACTACTGATTTTAACAATACAACTTTTACTATACTTTGAGTTTCTAGCAAAAACATCTTTCTTTGTTACTTACACGAAAGGTGAATTAAAATTTTTAACATGCAATTTTTTTTTATTATTGAATATTTTAAGATCGGTCAGTGACAAAGTTGTATATTCTGCGCTAAACTAATTTTTGCAGTGAAGAAATATTTGACAGCGATTTTGTTTCTTTGAGGTACATATTTAGTTATAACGAAATTTAAAAAAAATCGCATTTTAACATTAATGACTGCGTATTTTGAATTTTATATTTATACTCGTATTTTTAAAATTTCATTTTTCTGCATTTTTTATTATATCATACTGTAAAATCTACTTTAAATTCCGCCATAGTTTTTTCATAGTAGTCCCCATAAACACTTCTGATTCTAACAATGCAATTGTAATTGATTGATGACTTTAAATCTAAAAAAATCTTTCTTTGTTATTTCACGAAACGTGATAGAAATTTTCACGAAAAAGATTTTTTTATTACTCAGAATTTTGAAATTGATCTGCGACAAAGTTGTAGTAAATGCATTGAAATATTTTTAAACAATGAAAATGATCACTAAGAAGTCCTTTCTTTCAATTAAGTATGTCTGAACTCAAATCGTGACTCAAACAATACGTAAAGTCAGTTAATATGCTGCATCCGAGTCATCGCTCTAGTTTAAAATTTTTTAAGTCTTTGACGTACTTCAGTAGCGAGAAGTTCTGTCTAAGTAACTTTAGAAAATCTTTTTCTGTGAAGAGTTGGTTCTATGATAACACACAAAAGAAACATAGTCCAGAAAGAAAACCAATCAACAGCGCTGGGCCACATGCCATACAGAGAAGCAAAGATCCTATACACAGAACTAAAACATTGTTTTACTGAGTCCAAGATTTGAAACAAAATTATAAATAATAGGAGTAATAAAATAAATTTAATGAAGCCGGGCGAAATTGCAGACGAAACGTCTGGAATATTCTAAATAAATACACAGAAATAATTTAGTTTTCGTTTGCCAAAAAGCCAAGAAAACGTTTAAAGAAAAATCAAATTTGGCAAGCAAATTTATTTTTATTTTATAAACTAAGTATTTTGTGTTCTAAATACCAGAGCCAGAAACTCAAATATTCGTGTGTTGCATTCTTATGTGCTATCTAACACATATCATGTTTAATCGTCGTAAGAGTTTGTGTAAGTTAATAACTTATTGAAAAGTAACTTATTAGAAGTAAGTTATTATTAACCCGCTTTAGTTGAAAAATTAATGTATCTTATGTTAACAAGTTTAAAATGTGCATTGGAGGTTCAGATTAAGATTTTCAATAATAACAAAGAATTAAAATAATCAACAATAATCTCCTGTTAATATACACTAACTTTATTTAAATATAACCGATGACAATGAATATATACAGAATGAGTGAACACGACATTTTCAGTCTTCTTAGAACTTAACGATGGTACAACTTTGAACTGGAATCATGTTCACTGATCTGGTTGGTAGCGCTGTTTACTACAGCCAGTTGTGCAGAAGCTTCGGCATTATTTTGAGCTTGTTGTGCGGCAGCAGCAGCTCTTTGTGCCGACTGCTGAGTTTCAGCTAATCCAGCTAAGGCTTCATCCAATCGAAGGTGCAGCCTTCCAAGTCTTTGCTGAGCATCCTGAATCATTTGATGTTGGGTAGCAGCAGCCTGTGAAGCAGTAGCGGCGGCACGTTCTGTTGTAGTGGCAGACTGTTGGACGGCAGCAAGAGTAGCAGTAGCGGCACTTAATTGCTGTTGGCTTTGCTGAACGACATTTTGAGCTGCACTGGCGGCTTCGAGAGATCTTTGATACTACAAATGAATATGATTTGTTAAATGTGCACTTGCAGTGAATGAGGAAATACTCTTAATTACCTGTCCTTCTTCAGCTTGCAACTGATGTTCAGCATCCTCAACTTGCTCCTGTAAATTTTGAACAATAACTTGCTTGGCGACTAAAGCTACTCGTGCGGCGTGGGCAGCTTCTTGTGCGGCACGAGCAAATCCGTTCTGAGCTCCTGCAGCTGCTTGAACGCCGGCTACTTGTTGATTCTGTACAGCCGTTCTGGCTTGAAGTGCCGAAGAATGAGCCAAACTGGTGAGTTCAGCGCTAGAAGAGTACTTCTTGCCTCCGTGAGACGAGAAATCTCCTGAGACTGCAATGGCGGAAACATGATCGGTGGATTGGGTTTCTGGTTCCGGGACAATCACGCTCAATTTTTGTGGTTTGGCGGCGGCGGTCGCTGTAGATAAGATTGAGATGAAAGATAAAGTTACAAAAAAATAGATTTAAATTACCTAGGACGGCGATCAAAACAACAAAAAATTTAGACATGATTACCTGAAAAAAAGTTTATTTATGTTTTAATTTTTAGAATTTTTAGTATTACTTACAGTGCTCTGCAGAGGATGTGATTTCACGAAGGTCGAGAAGCTACTGGTGATTTGTTGGAGAAATTGCTATTTATACCATAAATAACAATCCATGTGCATGATCGTGAAATGGTCCGCTGAATTAATCTGCATATATTTGGATAATAATGGAGTTGTGATTATTTGTATGCATAACTATTTAAAATTAATTACAACAAGTTAGTTCCAGCTTTTCGACGTGGTCGGTATTAATATGTTTGTGCAAGTGTGTACCTCAATCGTCCAGAATTTTAACTTGTTACATATTAAATCTGATATGTCCAGTAGATAGGTATCATTTATTTCTGGCTTTGATAATGATCGATGTTAAAATAATCGCTTCACTGACTTTCATCCAATGTCCGAGCTATATTTAGTTGTCTGTTTCTTGTTTGCAGTTAAGGCCGAATTATTTTATTAGATAAAATTTGACAGAATGATAGTAGTTCGCGTTTTTTTTTTATTTTTTTTTTAAATTTTAATTTCTTAAGCGTGAGCTAAATTAGTGTTTTTTTTTTGACGAATGACTAATTTCATGTTTCCTTCATTTTTTACAGCTCCTAGAATTTGAAACAAAACTTCCGTGTCAGTCTGTCAGTCGTTGCGTATCTTTTGTTTTCTACCTGTTGCCTATAGCAAATTTTTTATTAAACAGTTTTTGTTCGAAACTACTGTACTGAGTATTGTTGTTGCGAAAGTTTTCATGTACTTAAAACAAAACGTCTAGATGATATGATGATATAATATTCAAACCAATTGTTTGATTGTTGCCACAAAATTAGGTCTAAGGTTACTTCCTCCCCCACTGGTAAGTTACAGTACTTACATCTTATCCAACTTGTTCGAAAATTGGTAGGATTTTTTTTTCATGAGAACCCATATAAATGAAAACAAAGATAAGTGTGTAGTAAAATAAAAGTAAAATGCATGCTATTCGCATGTTTTAAGAGAATTTTTCCATTATAAAATTTTGTTATGGTATGATCAACATTCTAGCAAAGATACGAAAATCAAACATTAATTTGGATAGGTGGAGTGTAATAATAATAATAATAACAGTAATAATTTTCAAATTTTCTGGAAAATCGAGTGAGAAACGCTTGATTTAATCCATAAAATAAAATTGCCTCGGTAATTTTAGGGATAGATTTTGCATTTATAACATGCAATCGCATTATTCTAAGAAACCACAAACTCAAAACGGGAAGCGAAATCGGCCGACGATGACAACTTACGTTTCTACTTGTTTGATAACTTCCCTAATTTTTTGGATGCAAAAAAATATTTCTTAGCATTTTGTAATTCAACAAAAAAGAAAAAAAACAAGATTCTCTCAACATAAAAAAATAGTCCAAGCTTATTTGCACATTCGACACTACAATCCAACAAATTCAGCTTCTTCTAAAAATTATAAAATTAAAATAACTCTTATAATTTAAAATAGATCTATATTTGGACTGCTAAAGTACTGCTAAACCAGTCACAGTGTAAGAAAAAAATTGATATGTCGGAGATTGAACTTCAACGCTTTTAGATGCAAACCTAGTGCACTTGCCACTGAGCTATGGCCTATGTTGCGTATGGTTGCTATTATGTAGTTAAAGACCCGCTTTACTACGAGAAATATTGAATAATAAAAATTGTAATAATAATAGACAAAATTAAGGCAAATTCATAAATGACAAGAACAGTAGTATGTATTTTATAAATTTTGTATGGGATGTACAAAGCAAAATTTTGATAGATATGATGTCATCAAATTGGTAGAGATAATTAGATAAATTTTGGTTAGTGTTTTACGATCTACGTGATGTTTCCAACGTACGTGTAAAATCTGACAGTTATTGGTCTGGTACTTTCGGAGATTACCTGCCTAATAAAACTCCGAATAGACGGAGATGCGAGGCCTACTTTTAGATATCCGAGAGGTCATAAAACGTCGAGAAAACATGAAAGTATCCAAGTAGCAAGTGACAAAGGACGCAAGTCTTCAGTGTCGAGGTCATATGTCTTTGAAACTGGTTTGTTTCATTTTATTTGTAAAATTGAACCGAAGGGCAAATCTGTTGAAATTTACCCCCACGTGCAACTAAAAGATCATGATGAGTTAAATTTTAACAATTTGTCCGTTTCACGTATTGCGAAGCGACGCTCGGAAACTCCACAAACTGCGTCATTTTTTCTTTAGACTAGTGTCGATGGATATCTGTCGGATTTTCCAGGACTAGTTTGGGGTTGTAAAGGGATACAATTGTAATGTTATTTCTCGAAATATTTCCTAATATTTAATCGTGATCTATCTAAAGGGATGGATGGTTTTTACTAAGTTATGAATTAAAGTTAATAAATTCTCATTTGGGAATGTTAAAATAGTAATTTGCAGTATTCAAAATTTAATTTTAAACATTGATGCTCTCTGAAAAATTATTAGTAAAAAAATGTCATCGTGCAAAGGGAAAGGGATTTCATGCTGATTTTGTGTTCTACGACCTAAATTTTGAATATTTATTCTCTTGTGCTCCTCTCACAGCGAAGTGTGTACAGACGTCGTTATTATGATTTCAACCGTATTTAACGTGTGTTTTTATTTATGAATTTGGATGGAGATTCGCATCGTTTTGTGGTGTCACGAAATTTTGATTATTTTGCAGTTTTTAATTTATTTAATCTAACGCATAACTTCGGGAGTACAAATTTCAAATGAACACGGTCAGACGTATAAAATAATGGACACGTGAACAGTTTAATTTGTTTGCAACTTGGCTTCTCACCAATGCAATTTTTCAACATTCCTTACGAACCCGGTCTAGCACATCTATAGCTACATTTTGACCTTTGAGTTTATTTTCTGTGAAGGCTCGGCTGTCCGTACGCGCAAGGAAATCCGCGAGCAGCATAACTTAACTTCGAAATTACCCTGATCTATAATTTGAACCCCTGAAAAGTTTTGATTTTGGTTCTGTTTAGATTTTTATCATACCAAGTAATAATTTGGGCATTGCCATCTATTTGCTTTAGATAAGATGTTGCCAACTAGAGAATTGTGTACATTTAACAACAAGCTGTATTTATGTGATCGAAATTTGTGGCCTTGCATTAAAACTTAATAAACTCCTTCCTTGCACATTTTTGTCTCGTTAATACAAGATCACTTTTTCACTTTCGCGATTTACCACTTTGCATTAGAACGCATTCCGCCATTTCAAAACACAACGCAGGGTTCCATTTTGTTGACGATCAGAGTTCATGGCCACTTTCCAAATGTTTTGCGATTTTTTGAATCTTTGTACGCATGCCTCAATTTTGGCGGAATGTTTGGGTTATCACAGTATATAGGTTATCATATATAACGAGTAGTCCGATTTTTTTCGGAATACTTGCATGTTAAATGTCTTACGATATATGCATAGAACTTCATCTAACTCATACGAAGCTGAGCAAAGACTAAAAGTAATTTGAGATTAGTTTTCGCAAAAAAAGCAGTGTCTTCTTTTAATGTATATCTACTAATTTTATTTAAATATAGGATGACAATGAATATATACAGAATGAATGAACACGAAACTGTCAGTCTTCTAAGAACTTAACGATGGTACAGCTTCAAATTAGAATCATGTTCACTAATCTGATTGGCAGCGCTGTTTGCTACGGCCAGTTGTGCAGACGCTTCAGCATTATTTTGAGCTTGTTGAGCGGCCGCTGTGGCCCTTTGCACCGAAAGTTGGGTTTCAGCTAGTCCAGCTAAGACTTCATCCAATTGAAGATGCAGCCTTCCAAGTCTTTGCTGAGCATCCTGGATCATTTGGTGCTGGGCGGCAGCAGCCTGTAAAGCAGCAGAGGCGGCACGTTCCGTTATGGTGGCAGATTGCTGCACAGCAGCAAAAGCAGCAGTAGCGGCAGTCAATTGCTGTTGGCTTTGCTGAACAGCGTTTTGAGCTGCATTAGCGGCTTCGAGAGACTGTTGGTACTAAAAAGGAATACATTGTTTGTTAAATGAGAAATATTCTTGAGTATTACTACCTGTCCTTCTTCAGCTTGCAACTGATGTTCAGCATCCTCAACTTGCTGTTGCAAATTTTGAACAATAACTTGCTTTGCGACTAAAGCTACTCTTGCGGCGTGGGCAGCTTCTTGTGCGGCACGAGCAAATCCATTCTGGGCTCCTGCAGCTGCCTGGACGCCGGCCGTTTGCTGATTTTGCACAGCCGTTCGGGCCTGGAGTGCCGAAGAATGAGCCAAACTGGTGAGTTCAGCGCTAGAAGAGTACTTCTTGCCTCCGTGAGATGAAAAATCTCCAGATAATTGAATGCTGGATACGTGGGCGGTGGATTGGGTTTCTTGTTCTGGGACAATCACGCTCAATTTTTGTTGTTTGGCGGCGGTGGTCGCTTCAAATGAAAGTTCAATCAAAGATAAAGCAGCAAAGAATGCCGTGAACTTACCTAGGAAAGCGATCAAGACAACAAAAAATCTAGACATGATTAGCTACAAAGAAATGATTTTATTTTTAATTTTTACATTTCTTGGACTTACTTGTGGTGTTGTAGATGTTTTGATTGTACGAAGGCTGAGAAGTTACTGACAATCACTCCGTAAAAAGCACTATTTATACCATAAAGATGGTTTGTTGAATGTGAACGTGCAATGTTCACTCAGAGGGAAGTGGTATAAATTTACATGTTAATTGAGCTTTGATACATTGTAATGCACTGGAACATATTATTCCGGATTATTTCCTTGGTTTAGGATGGAAGAATGTTGTTAAAAGTATGTTAAAATTGTGTTGCATGCTGTCGATAGAAAAGTTCAACAAATTTCATAATTATTTTAATTACGTGATTTAGAAGTACCAGACCATGGAGTCTGAGGTACTGACTCTCGTAAATAAAATGTTAAATTAATTGTACGCGAATAAATTCATGTAAAGCATAGCTTTGAATGAATGAATTGGATTTTCCATATTCAAATCTCAGGAACACGTATTGTTTTTCCTTAAAAATAGAACTTATGTTATTATAATATTAATAATAATAATAATATGTATTTAATGTAGAAAAAAGACACAGGATCCATAAGACGGCATATCAGAAATAAGAATTAAACATGTACATGTGACACAAAAGTAATTACAACAAAAGAAATACATAAAAACTAAAAATAATTAATCCATACAACTTAAAAATTTCTCAGGTAGTTATTTATAAAAGATAAATGTTTATAAATCTAGCTATATTATCACCAGATGCATGAAACGTAAAATTAGTTTCATGAAGTCTAGGTTTCAGCACAGCGAGAACCTATTCTAGGTACTCTAATATCCACCAATAACGTAACTAGGCCAGGACAGTCAATGCAATTCTGGGACAACTTGTAACCCAAACGAATTTCAGTTTTTAGGTTTCTACTCTCCAGTAGTTCCAGATTTACCAGCCTCTGATCGTAGCTATAAATTATCTTTATTTATTCCCATTTTAAAAAGTAGATAATTGATAATAAGTTTACATTGTACTCCTTCAAGACGATCAACATAGGTTTTATAAAATGGGAACTAAATAAAATGACAATATTTAAGAATTATTAGTTTAACTAAAGTTACCAATATTTGTGTAGGTTATTAATATTCCAAAAATCAGAATCTGACGTTTGATAAAGCCACAAGTTCGAAATTACTTATTCAGAACATGATCGATATAAGAAGTAAATCGTAACTCCGAGTTAGAGAATTACACCCAAACCTTTTTTTTTCAAAAACGCGTTCAAGAGTAACTTTATTAAAAGTGTATGGAAATACAACAAAGTTAGATTTATAGGTAAATGTTAAAACCTTACACTTATCCAGTGTTTATTCCCATAAAGTTGTTTGGGTACCAAGAACTAAGTATTTCAAGTATATTTTCGAGCAATTCAACCAAAATCTTTATATCATCTCCAACACGTAATCAGTCGTCGAATTGACAAGCCAAATCGTTAACAAATAAGGAAAACAGAACAGGTCCAAGATGGTTGCCCTGCGGACCATCTGGCGTGACAATAATTGGATCAGAATAATGGTTCCCCAACTGAACCATCTGAGTCATCTCTTTTAAGTAAGCTTTGATCCACTGGTAAAGATTAAAGTATTGATTCAGTTTATAAAGTAGGATATCGTTGTCCACTCGATCGAAAGCCTTGCTAAAATCAGTATATATTGTATCGACTTTGTAGCCCTCCTTTAATGTTGTATACACTGTTTTTACAACTAGGTATGTCCAGGACTCCTATTTGGTCCTGGGTTGAAGCTGTCCTTTAAGCATGTTAGTTTAGTAACATATTTCAGAAGTAATTTCAACATTGCATAGCGTTGCAACGTTATTGATAAAGTGTTGTGATTCACGTCTATAATTTCAAGTAACTTTCAGCATGGTGCTAAAACAGGTTGGAATTATTTAATTTCATTTTGCATATTGTAAAGGAAATCACTGGTTTGCCAACTAGAGAAGCTTTTCACTAAGAATGTATATTTTTCAAATCAAAAAATTTAATCTCATTTTCCTATAAAATTACAGCATATCGAACACTATCTATTATAATATCAAGTATAAAATAACAGTTATAAAAAATAAACAAGACAAAAGCTATTTAATTATCATGAAGTTACAATTATAGAAAACAAAACTGACAAAAACGGTATAAATATATTACTGTACAGCTACTTTTTCATCACAATTAACAACATTAAAATAATTATATATCTAAAACTTCCCTAAAATTTTCTCCCAATCTTTAATTTTTACTAGAGCATCTTTAGCGGCCACTCCCATCATTCCCTCAGGAGAATTTTCAGGTTCATAACTAAAAATTAAGCTAGCTTCCTCTAAACATTTCAAAATTTTCTTCAACCTGCTTCGCAATTCACTTTTCGTGCAATGTGTCTCAAATTGCCTGGTTAAAAGGATCATCAAAGGAGCGTGCATCTCGTAAAGAGTAACCCCTCTTAATCTGGTGTATCCTGGCTCAATGATGTTGAAAATTTTCATAATTTCTTCGCAAATTTCTTGTTTGCGGGCAAGTAAATCTTCACTGAGTTCATCAATGAGATAACCATTGGCTCTTCCATATAGTTGGCTTAGTGACAATTTCACGCTTAAGTTTAAATAGTGAGTAGGATGAAGAACATTGCGATATTTTTCTAGAAAGGTTTCCATGCCAATTATATCACTGCAGTCTAGGTTTTCAAGTTCTTGAGATATTTTGTCTGTTAGTAGTTGCATAGACCTAGATGTAATTTTGTAACCTGGACACTTGCCTACGTTCGTACATTTCCAATCAGCTTCCGCGTTTAGAGGATCAGTAGAAAGAACGCACCCAGTTCGACATTTGGGACAAATGAGGGCTCCGCTATAAGTTCCTAGTTCTGTAGGATCAGCACACCTACTGCATTGGCACTCGAAGAATTTATTTTCGAGAAGGTGTTCTCTTCGCTTTAGCGTGCTTTGAAGAGTGTAGGCGTAACTCAAAGTGATCATCTGACCAGGAGCTATTCTTGTAGATGCTCGAACTGTTAGCCTAAATGTATTTTCTTCGTCAATATGATTGGTATTTGGAACACAATCATGTGACATTAAGAACGCAGTCGGGTAAAGTCCTCTGATATTAATACCCTGCTGGCCGATTTCGAAAGAATTCACTTCCAAAATGCCACATATGCTATGTATTTCTTCTTCTGTATATTCTTTCAAGCCCCAGTCGTTTCTAATTCTATTAACTACAGTATTTTGGTCACTGTTCCACAATTCTGGAATGTTTCTTCTAATTTCATTATGCGTTTCCATTGTCATCAAATTCTCGTAAGCTTTAGGATCTGTATCCTTCAGCAAAAGACATCTCAAAGGAACGATAGCATTGAAATTAGTGCGCAGTTTTTCCATTTCGTGATAATTGAGAAACTGTGCAGATTTAGTAGTTTTGAGTATGGCACATTCGATCTCTGTATGGCCATACTTTTTCCTCAATCCCTTACATTTTGTAGAACACAGAGGCCAACCACACTCTTTACACCTATAAAACAGACACGCATTATTTTGTTCCCAAAATAATAGTGTTGATTCTTACTTGATATATAGAGTTGATGACTCAAGTGGTTTATAACAACCTAGACATTGTACCTTGCAACCTGCACAAGGTCCGACGACTATTGGCGCCTCGTTTAAAATTATATCACCCGGTTTTAGATTTTTCCTTGAAATCATGTATCTGGAATCAAAAGATGGGGGGCTAATTAATTGTTGAATAAACATAAAAATAAATTCGGTGTAAAGGATATAGTTTAGAGTATAAATTTTATTTGGAGTAAACGATTGTAGTGTTTAATCGGTGGCGGTGGTTTTTATTAGAATTGTGAAATTAAGCTATGACGCAGAAACTAATTATTGGTCTTACGTAGGGTTTCTTTGAGTAGTAAAATTTTAATGGAGGAGTCAATCCCAAAAATATCCGAGATGCAACGCCACTTAGAAGTTAAAAAAAGCAAGTTATTTGTTTGTTCCGGAAAAAAACAAAAATAAATTTAGTCTTCAACTTGCAACTTCGGTAAGAGAAGCAGGGTAATTTGGATGTCAGAGTGTAGACAGAAGCAAATAATTTAAAAAAAAGTTGTTTTACTTTTCGCTAGGTTAACAATATAAAAGTAAATAATTATGTTGGATAAATTAATTGTCAAAAACAATGATAATCTTCAAAACTACAAAACTAAAATTTTAAACGTGTTTTTCATACAAATTGTAAAATCTCAACCAAATTTTTAACTTCACTCCTTTTAAAACGATTGATTACATCAATTCAGGTATTGCTGAGTACGTTTCATTAAATAAAACATAATAGATTTCTTTGACAAACTATGAAGCAAAATTGTTTATTCATTCTCCAGAAAATTTATAACGTCATCTCAAAAAAATCTTAATTGAAATTACACATTCAGGTGTTGTATTGTTTACGTTGTAATAATATCATTTGCATATTTTAAAGTCGTTAATAAAATATGTTCGAAAATAAATAATGAACTGAATTATTTCTTTGAAGACATTATAAATGTTTCCTAGAATTTCTCCAAAATGGTGGGAATACCTCAATATTACATTCAATGGTATGTATTACTCGACATGAAATTCAACTTGTTTATCCTCGCCAAAAATATGATGACAAGCGGTTACTAAAATACACTGACGTGAAAAATTTCTGTGTAAATAAATTTTTTTTGATGTCTAAATTTTATTTTTATGCAGAGTAGTGTCAAAATAAGAAAAACTTTCACTCATTTGTGCACAAATTTTTTGGCGTTAACGCATCAGAGAATCTTATTTTAGAATTTTTTGAGATGACGTCATCACTTTTTTTGTGAGAATGAAAATATTTATTTTTATTTGCAGAATTAAATACTAACTATAGCATGACTGAATTTCTAGAGAAAAATTAAATAAACGGTTCTAAGACGAATCGGTTTATACTGCTTTTCTGAGTCATCCTGTATAAGCAGTTCGAAAAATAAAAACATTATCAAACCAAAAGCACGATGATATCCAAAAGCGTATTTATCGTCTTGTTTAGTGTTTTTTGGTTGTCTTATGTAGGACGTAACACTAAGCATAAAAGGTGGGTGGGAAAATTTTAAAATGTCACAATCGATTTTTTGACGGAAATCGTTCAAAATTTATACCAACTTTTTACAAATTTTATTATAATGCTCAATAGTATATAGATTTTGAAGTAATGTGAAGAGTTCCCAACATTTTTCGTTAAAAATAAAGTAAAAATGGATAAAGACGTCATATCCTTGGAAAACAGGTAAAACACCAAATAATGAAGATTTTTAAAAATCTAAAGTATCCATTTTGTGGTCGAAAAAAAAATTGTGATTTTGAAAGAAGATTAATGTTAACAAAATAAAGCTGAATTTGTTATTATCGTTTGTTAAGGTTCATTTACACGATAGATACAATTTGGCGAGTTGTAAGACTTGAATTTATTTATGTTTCTCGTAGATTTTCAACATGATACTATTACTTTTTTTTACAAATCAAAATATTTTGATCAGGGCGGGATTTAAACTATATATTTAATTACGTTTAAATGCGCCATTTTTGAAGCTTGAATTGATACTGTTGACTTTTAACACATATAGTTGAAAAAAGTATTATTACACACCAAATTTTTCTCGTTAAAGTATACATTTTGAAAGACTACAACATAATTAAATAGTTTAATTCTAAAAACATATCATCATTATGCGCTGCAATAATAATAATTTCTAGGTGCGGAGAAAATAAATGTTATGTAGGAAGGATGTGACAATTTTTGAATCTTATCCAAAACGACAAATTATACATAAGACAACAAGATTACTAATCTTGTTGGCACATCCTGAATTGCATTTGTTGCGAATAATAAGATTTTGCGTTGTAAGACATAATTATGACACTGGAACAGTAGCAACACGAACAAAACCAAAGAAATTAGCGGTTTTACATCGATTACTAATGAACCTATTAGTGTTATTAGACGTAATATATATTATAGCAAAAATAATAATCAACCATGGTGTTCAAGATGCATAAAAAAATAATTTTGTACAATCACTGAATGCACTTTTCATCTAAGGCAATTAAACTGACTCGGCATTTTTTTATACACCGCTTCTGGTTATTAAGTGAGAGGGATGTGAGTAGTGTATAATTTGTTAATTGTAGCTAGAACGACGGAATGTTGGTATGTATGAACATTATTATTATTTATGTACACAGGTGACGAGAAAAATCGGTTTGTTTTTAGATGGAAATGATTTTTGATTTTGTTAGTATTATTTTATGTCACTTTAACCGAACGTTTATAATGGGTAATTGTAGCTGTCAGAAAAATTCGTAAACACGATAAACATCGAAAAGAATAGCTTCCAACTATATATAATTAATCGATTTTTTAGACACCGATCGCGTGCCAACACAAGCAACTTGTTAACGCGATGATCCGAAAAAATATGAATGAAGTCAAGAATTTATTACCTTCCCATGACTTTCGACGTTTTCACGTCAAAAATTGGTCCATCGTCAATTATATCCAGAAGGTCCATATTTTCAGATGACGATGCTGTCGATTGTGACGATCGCCTTTTTGACGATTTGCTCTAAGAAAAAAAAAAAACTACATTGACTGTAAAAATAAAAAAATCTACCAACCTTTCTCCTAGAGTGTCTACTCATTTTGCGATTTTCACACACTCAAAAAAAAACGGTGCTCTAAATCACTTCTTGGGCGCAGAGTGACAATAATTTTTAAGTGACTCGGGTGTCAAGCGGTGGAGTATCTCGGACCGTTTATTTTGGTCAACTCATCCAACTCGACTAATCTGTTGTGGGAGGAATTATTGTGGACGCCGCCAAAGTTATTTTTAACTAAATCTTCTGTATTTTTGGATAGTGTTGCCAAACGGCATGCACCGAAATGACAATAAAAACAATGTGTTTACTTTACTCCAATCTAAGGGTCAACTGCGAGTGTGCATTTGTTATAAAAATTAAAATAAACAACGTTGGGTTATAGGTTTATAATGTCAGGAGTGTAAACAAAAACAGGCGCCTCGTAAATCATTAACAGATGGAACTGCATTTACAGAAGCCGGGATCCTGCGGACCTGGAAGCGCTCCAGCCTAATTTAAAGTTGATTTTCGGTCTTGGAGCATACTTTTAATTGCAAATTTGCGAAGTGTGAAACCGCTTTCGATGTTGGTGCAGGATGTTGGCTCTAAAATTTTAATGGTAAATGTCTGATCGTTAAATGGGCATCTGATCTTCCACATGAAGTGAAAGCAGTCTTATTTATGTATAGGTATATTAAATTCGTATGAAAACGGAAATAATTTTTTAAATTCGTACTGCAGAATGTTTGCTTGCTATGGTACTGTGTTACACTTGATATGAATAGGAAAGATATATGTATGAAATAATTGGATTGTGCCATGAATTATAACATATTATTCTTTAAAGCGGCAAACTGTGGCGATACTTTAATATTTATTGATAGTTGACCGCAAGTTATGGGGACTTATAGTTTGTGAAAATTATAATTTATGTTTCAGTTTTGTACTTTTTGTTAGTTGAGTGTGTCTTATCACGAACAAAAATAGCAAAATATTGTATGGAGTAAATAAAATACTTGTTGGGTTACGAACAATTTTCGATCAATTTTACGGAAGTAAAAACTAATAACTATGTTTACGCGTAGCTCAGAAAGCTAAATAATGGGCCTTAATACACACCTCTATATATATCTTATCGTGGTGTGCGATAGGTTTACACGAATTTTAGCGTTTGCCGCTCTTTTGAAATGAAAACTATAGTTACCTGAATAAAGTTAAATTAGTTACTGAACCCACAATACACTGTTGTGTATATGTTTAACTGAAAATTATATGTATTTTTTATATAAACTTCTACTGAGAAAAAAAATACCAAAGGATTTGTGGATAAATATAAAACATCTTTTTTTATATAAATAGAAACATGTTTAGTCTTACATCAAATAGGTGATACGCACGTATGTACAGCTACAGCCTATGTATGTTCGTTGAAAAAAAAACACATTTGAATACGTCAGGTGACAGAACTTTTTTTAAGAAAACACCCCATAACTTTTAATACCGTTCTTACACATAAAAATATAACGTCTATTAGCTGTTTTGAAAAGCTAATAATATCCAAATTAATTGCTCAAGTGTTTTATACCAGTTTGTGTCTCAGTCTTTCTTTTTATTACTTCCCGAGGGAGTATAGTAATCGGACAAATGGCCACCTTTATATTTTCTTGACGTTTCATGGCCCCTGCAGCACGAAAAAAGTATTCTCCCGTTTCCGTCTGTCTCTGTCTGTCTGTCTGTCTGTCGGTCTATCTGTCTGTCTATCTGTCTGTCTGTATGGTGGTTGAGGCTGAGGAATGCAGACCGGACGTCGCGCGTTCGATTCCAAGCGTGGCCTTTCGTTTTTCCCCCGTTTTTTTTCTCTTTCTCTCTCTCATTGTGTATTATCTATGTTTACGATGCTACTACAAATTTTTTATTGGTCAAATTAAGAATGAACCTCATTTTCTCGAAAATGTGAGAAAACTCACGTCTTTATGTAATACTGATAAAATAACAATTATAATATTCAGAACATTTTGTTCCATTGTGGTTTGACTAATAATTTTAGTCTTCTGTTTTGAAAAGACAAACTCATCCAAATCAAATTAATTTCTACGTGACCTAGTGCTGAAGGATATTTTATCCCGTTAGTTGAGTGCGGTAAATACATTTTTTCCAATTTCTACTAATAAAATGCTCATTTTGTATGTTAAATCTCGCTATTAAAACAATAGTTTAATCGAAAGGATGAATAAAATGTTTATAGCAACTAGTGATGTACCGACTATAGTCGGCCGACTAGTCGGCTTTGTTAAAACCGGTTAAAATTGGTTTAATCGACCGAAAATTGGTGTCAAAGTGTAGATAATCTTCGCTAGTTACGATTCTGAAATCGCCGTCACGATATCTTGTCCAATAAACGCGCAAAGCGAATTCAAAATTTCCAAAAATTTTCCAAAAAAGTGGTTAAAACTGGTTAAAGTATTGTATAAACTGCCCTAAATTGTGTAATTATTTGTTTTTGTACTGAGTTACTACAAAAAATTAAATGTTAAAATTATCCAAACAAATTTAACACAGTTTTTGGAAAACAAAGTAACTTTAGTTATTCCTTTTATTAAAATAAAACGATTTTTTAACAGTCGGCCGACTATAGTCGGTACATCTCTGATAGCAACACTTTATTAACACTGTCATTGACAACACGAATAAAGAAAAAAAACTAAAAATTCGCACTACCACTGAAATTTTCGTTGCTATGGATGTGTGGATATTCAACTAAAATTTGCAACGCCTGATAGTCGACCTCCTGTAAAACGATCCTAATGAAAGTCCAGGAGCATCGTTTGAATTTGACCGTGACGAAAGTACAGGCAGCTTAGGCAATTTACCTTCTTAAAATGTTCATCATATTAGTAATAGTACAATTCATATTTATGTATATGGATTACCTACACAATAAATTTTTTGAAAATAAATAAACGAATTTTATCCACTCAAAAACATTATCACACTCAGCTTCGCCTCGTGTGCTAAACTGCTTTTTCGTTGGATAAAATTCACTTTTATTCACTTATACCATAAATAGCTATTACATTGTATAAGCAGCAAACAGGCTGGGGCTCGGTGGGCACCCTTGCATACATACTCCCTCCTTTTTTTTTTACGCCTCTTCCTCCATGTGGTGGGGAATGTATATGTTGTCTATTACCTATCGTCCCTTGTCCACCAGTTTGTTTACTCGAAAGCAAACCTCTTTCATTAATCTCATTCCTGAATCTTTATTCCGGAGCCATTGCATATAAGATGATATAAGTTATACGCTGTGTTCAGGAGAGTTATTCTCCTGTAGTTTGTTTTTTTATTGGGAGACACCCTTTCCTATCGATAGGGCAAATTAGTCCTTTTCTTCCCTCCCATGCATCATTCATTACTTCCAGTATAATCATACCTTTATTTTTCGTATTACTATCAAATCTTGGTTCTTTTTCTTGTGCTTCCCCTTCTATTTGTTGTTCACCTATTTCTTTTTTGTCTCTAGTAAGTTCATAAAATAAACCATCCATTCCTCTATATCAATATTACAAAAGGCTTTCTTTTTGATTCTCCTTTCCTTATTGATATATTGCCATACCTACTTCTTTTTTCTGATCTCACTGTTTTCAGCTTTCCCTTCTCCTTTCATTATTTTTTTTCGTTCTTCACATATTTTTCTGTTCACCTTCCTTCGCTTGGTAATATTTTTTTGTGGCTTTTTTTTTACTCCTTTGTCTTTCTAACAACTTGACTTCATTTTGTGGTATTTACAAGTCGATACTTAATACGTCTAATGTGAGGAATTGAAGAATTTTCAAGAAGTCAAAAAAGCTCACCGGGTATCATTTTTTACATGTATTAATACAGGTTTACTTATCATTTGTAAACATACTATTTGGATAAAAAGACATATTAAAAAAGGTGTTTTTTCTTAAATAGTTATGATTCTTGACAATACAAAGGTAATATGTAAATTAATATTTCAACTGCTGAAACATTGGAGAACATAAAACTCATCTGATTAGTTGCTGAACCTTGGTCTCGTTTATAAAACATTGCTAAATTAGTTAACCGACTACCTGATCACGTGATTAAATTGAACGAAACATATTAGATTACCACGATGAAGACCTAAACTATCATCAAACTACTTAATAATGTCTTAATTTTTTACAGGTTTTCTGTAAACTAACTCTTAGATCTATTGACAGTTTCAACGACAAAATCAAACGTATTTTTATTATAAAAATTTCGTGAGAACAAAAAGGAAAAAGTCTTAATAGTCTTACATTTGCTTAATTTTATTATATACAGGGTTATTCAGCTAAGATGACCCATTTGTGTTTCTAAAAGAGGCAACCCATAATATAGATTCCACTTGAGTCTGGATTACAAAAAATGTTTCAAAATTGAATTGTATCAAAGTTTGCTTATAAGTGTATCGAAACGTCAGTGTCAGAAAAATGCCTATGCATTTTTACGATAATAACGAGAAAACCGACATGATCCTTATTTACAGAGAATGTCGCAAAAATGCTAGACGTGCAGCACAATTGTATGCCTGAAGATACCCTGACCGTGTGGTCCCAACACCCAAAATTTTTAAGAGGCTAGAAAATGCCTTGCAACTAGCTTGGCAAATGAAGTAGAAGTCTTTGCCCGAGTTTTAAAAAAATATTTTTTCTTATCTTTTTTGGAGTATTTGTTATCCAGTTTTGGCATTTTTAGGTCTATTTTTCTTCTCTAACTTTTATTACCTTCTACTAATTCTGAATAACTTGATTCCATCTGTTATTAGATTACCTACTTCACATTTTTTTTATTTTTTCGTTATTTTTGTTCCTTACTTTATGGTTGCCTTCATCGACAAATATCTTTCCTTGCAATTTTCTTATACTTTTGTTCTGTCCAATATTCTTATTATACTTATTATGTTCACGACCTCTTTAGACGTTAGTAGGTCATGTTTTTCTTTGGCTATCATGACTGACTGACGTGGTTTTCTTAATATCACAAAACATGCACCAAATGAGAAAAAAACTTTTCTTGTAGGCCGTGCAATCTATTTTTAAAATAATGATGTTGGTATTGCAGCTATTTGACCCTTTATTTGACAGTTATTTGACTCTAACTCTCAAACTGAGCAAGGAATGCTTTGGTGTTGCCAACATCATTATTTTAAAAATAAACTGCGCGACCTACTAGAGGAGTTTTTTCTTTTCAAGGATCAGAAAAATCAAAAAGCCAAAAATAATTTCATTGTAAATAAAACTTGCGATAAAAAAATGCTACTTACTTGCAGTTCCCTAAAGATAGACC